TGAATGATGAAACATTTTATTTCACAGACCTTTATAGAATAAAAAATATACATATATAATTTTAGTAAAACTCATGCTTAATAAATCAAGTCAATCCAAACCTCAAGGCAGCTCAAATTATATATTAAATGTTTTCCTCAACTAGAGCTTGTATGAGTACTGTAAGTACTGTAAACCCGCTCTGGATATTTCAGATCTTCTTATCAATGCCTCTCAGTCCATAACCTGGACTTGTTTACTGTCCCATGAGAGGTTATAAGTACATATGGGTTTTCATAACACACTGTAACTCATGCTCTCAGCTAGGCCAGTGGAAAATCACTCTAGTAGACCTCTATGTGACGTCAGGCATCGATAGCTTTTCTCGGAGCTCACACCTAACATATCACCTGTCAACAGCTTGTGTGAAATCCGGCCCACTCCATCTGCCCGCTTATGGAGCTCAAACACTTTAGCGCCCATGCTAGTAATCATAACAATCAAAAACAACCCTGGAGAGAAGACACCTGGGTAAAAATGGTTGATGGAAACTTGACTCATTAAACAATTAGCATGCCTCCGTGATCATTAGTTGCATAGTGATCCTGTTGAACCAGTGTTCTCTTACATGTGCGTTTATGGGTAACTCTCCAACTACAATGAGCATATATCCAAAAATATATATATATTTGTTCAAATTTCTCTTTCTTTGTCAAACTAAAAATGAAACCTACTTTAAAAAAATGTACCCCCTTTCTATTATATTTTTATCATATTATTCAACCTCCTTTAAGGTGTCAAAATCATTGTTTTCACCTTTTCGCACACCCAGAGTTTTAAACTGCAACAGTAAAAATAACATATTCAAATATGCTTTTATCTGTTATCTATTAATGTATCTTAATTAAGCACTAGCGAAATAATTTAAATATTTTATAGTTATTAATGTGAGACTATTATCAATATTATTTTTTATCCAAAATAAAGCTGTCACACAGTATCAGTGTCATTTCCACCACAACACTGTGCTGTCGCTTTGCTCTGCTAAGCACAGTATGACAGCTGACGGGTACAAGGGAACACTGAGGCTGTATTTCAGCATCTGATCTGATGGCAGACACTGAATTAGGAGAACGTTTTTTTCTCGCACACCTGACATAAAGGCTTTAGCACAACACCTTTCAAAATCAAAGTTGTGGATCACAAAAGCACTCCTTAAGCCACTCAAAACAGTATTGACAATCATTGACAACCAAAGTAGCTAGCTATCACTGCTTGAACTAACTGAAATGTTTTGCGTTTTTTCATAATGGATTAATTAATACGCATCAAGCTCAGCGTGCAAGGTTTGTTCACGCCACAATTTTTTAAAAATATAAATAAGAAAAAAGGCATACGAGAATTTCGGCCTTCAGTGGCAAAGACATTCATCTTCGAAAGATGAATTATTTTATTGCATTATTTTAAAAGTATTTGAATGTGTCTGTGCTTTCATTGATAGTCTATGTAGCTAACATTTTCAAGTTTCAAAAAATACATAAAGGCACTGCAAAATAAGTCACTTTAATCAAAGACTTCCGAAGAGACGCAGTTACTTTATATGTTGAACAGACACTGATCATCCAAATTTGTCTGTAGCTACGCTTCCATCCCCCTTTTTTACGCGCATTTTGGATATGCGCATAAAAAACAGCTTGATAGAAAGGTCAAGATTTTCAAAATGTGCATCTTCAAAAGCCACAATGGGTTTATTGCTTGTCTGCATACTGTCTACTGAGGCGCAAGTCATTTGTTAAATAAAGAAAAGATTCCTGCAGCTTCTTCTACCACAGCAATTTACATTTCTTCTGTTGATATTTGTTAACAGTTAATCAGGAAGATGCGATTTTGTTCTCTTTGACTTGTTGGATGGAAACGATGCTTTATTTGCATGTCTTATTTGCGATATTCCAGTTATGCGAACAAAATTAGTTTGCATTCCTGGATGGGAACTTAGCTAATAATAGTTGCTATTGTGCTGGGTTAGACCATGCTTATTTTTTTCTTCAAACCTAGTTCCTGTAACTAAAATTAATGTGTGAACTATTGGTATTTCACTATACTATTGAACTATACTATTATTTCTATAATAAAGTTCTTATGTCTTGTAAAACTTTAAAGAGCGCCTATATTGTTTAAAGAATTATTGAAAATTACCATTGATGCAGTGTGTCAGAGCCCTAAGGAGATGAAAACATTGAGCTGAGGTTTAAATCTGAAAGTGCATAAAGATATTTTCTCTCTCAAAAAAAATAAGAGTCTAAGAGTCATTTAAGCAATGTGCCATTATTTAGAATATGAAGCCGTTCGTTGTGATATCTGAAAGAAACATTGCCTCGACAACTTGTGCACACAGACCTGTTAAGATTTGTGGTTATTCACATATCTTGTCTAAAACCAATTGGAAAACACAATGCCTGACACTTCGTTTACCAATTTCAATTCTGAGGTTGCGCCAACAACAGCTGTTCTTACACACCAGACGCAGAAAGCACTGCGCTACAATTTGAACGAATTCGCTTACAATGATTTGAGCTACGCTGAACAGAATGCACCTCCGACGAGTGGTGGTCAATGTTCAAAATAGTTCAACTGTGACGATTAATGATATGTCATTACTATGATTTGGAGTTATGGTCAAGAATAGAGCAATATGCTGGTATTCCTGTATTAACCTCACACATATACGCTGTACCATGGCTGCTTGTTGATTCAACACTGTCTTGATAAGCCTTGATAGGCAACTCCCGCTGCACACAGTAGATCAATCACAACAGACTGTCATCAAACCAATCATCGCAGATTAGCGTTACACGCAGGAGGGGTTGGGAAAAATTAATGTCAAAACAAATGATAAGGGAGTCATTTAGGTAATTACATAAAATAAACCCATATGATGAGATAATTAAAGGATTTTCTTTACCACGAATGTATATCAGCCTGTTGTTGGAGACCCCCAAAACTGAACTAAGACCTTTCATAATGCATAATAGGGGCCACTTTAAAATAATGTGCTTTTTTTTTTTTTTTTCGATGGCATGCATTCACCAAAGCAGAGGCAACTAGTTCCTGCTGTGATGGTTAGACTCCTGAAGCAGGAGCTAATTTAGTTCTAACATAAGGTGTTAATATAACACCTAACTAAAATTGTTCCCGTAGAGGAATACATCAATAAGTGATTTTGAATTGTGAGGTTAAACTGAGATCCTGACTCTCATTTTGTCATTAAACATCCCATGCCACTTTTTGTAAACAGTAGGGGAATAACCCCGGTTGTCCTGGCCAAATTCCCTCACTCAGCCCTTACCGATCATTGCCTCCCAATCATCCTCATCCACTGAATTGGCTGTATCTCCGGTTCTGTCCACAAAATACCTTATCTGAATGACTATTTTGTGCTCATTTGAAAAGAATGTACTGATCAAAACACCTATACAAAATGGTTTTAAAGTCATGGCAATATGTGTTCATCTTCTGCAGACATATGCATTGGTCAGAGTTGCCTCATTGGCTGCAGAGGTTGGAGTGGGCAGCTTTCCCCCTGCCCATGGAGTCTTAGTTAAATGTGGAAACTTACTGCAGATACTTTTGTCCTTGCCGTGTCGAATAACAGTGGTGCTCCTCCGGGGTGTTTTCCAGCTTCTAAAGTAACAAGTGCTTGTACTGAGACTTTGACATCGAGTCTTAGCCTTTTACCATTTAAATTAGAGAACGGCAAGTGGAAGAACTCTGAGAAATTATAGTATAAAGAGATAGGTCATCCTAAATTCATGTCAGTCCAATCATGTTAGCCATATTTCAGTAGAACACAAATATATTTTGAAGAATGTTGGAAATCAGACATTCACTTCTATAAATTAAAACTGAATAATGGAAAATACTCTGCAAGTCAATTTCTTCTGTCAACTGTTTGGTTACCGACATTCTTCTGTGTTTTCAAAATTTACTTAAGATTGGTGATCCCTCATATCATCCTTGCTGGCATCATAAACTGAATCTTCCCATCTAGCTAAAAATACGTTTCCTCCCATCTCCTATAGTCTTCCAGTCAGAGGACCTAGCTATCAGTTATTTCCAAGATGAGCTAATGTTGTTATTATACGTGTTAACTGAAGGATTCACATTCTCTCAGCATTAAAGCATGTAAATGGGCTTATAATTAAGCAGCGCCAACATCCTTCTCAAGTTAAATTTGAACTTGAAGGAGAGACAGTGGTGTGTGGGGGTAGAGCGGGGAAACCTTTTTCTGACTCGGAGACCCGCAAGCCAAATTCACATGCTAAAAATAAAGCTGGATCAGCCAGGGCAGTATTAGTAGAGACTGGTACTCAGAGAGTGAACACAGTCAAGCTCAGATTCGGCACAGGGACTCAGTTGAAAGAACAGCACTAGTCTAAGCCGTCACAAGTCTCCCTGTGAGAACTCAATCTATAGCTCTGTAAGATTTTTGGAGAGGACTTTTGCTTAACTTTTAGTTCGGTCTCTGCTAATGCCAGTGACACATTTGGGTATTTCAGAATCCATTCTTTGTGTCTGGAAGATCGCTCATAGGTCTATATTGATGCGGAAAGACTCTAACAATCTGGATCGCTCTGTCCTTTGGCACATTCAGTCTTCGCTAAATCCTAAATCTCGAAATGTAACCTGGAAATGGCGCCTTAACTCCACTTTCGAACGCAGAGTTTTATTATTTTTCTGCCATAAGTGCTCTTGAGGCGAGGACTATACTGCATAATTTAAGGCAGATATTGCAGCGTTATCTTTGCAATATTGCTAGCTGTGTTGAGGGTTGTACAGTTTTCAATTTGGTCAAGCCACGAGGAGGTCAAAATGCGTGAACTTCTTCCTATCCCAGTCAAGGAGAGGAAAGAGAGGGAGCGAATAAACAGCCTTCCTGCGCCGATTCCTGCACCAACATTCCCTATTACATACTCCATCCAAACCTCTAAGAAGTTTCCCTTTTTCCACTTCAAAAAATGCAGATACGAGGCGGAGAATGCCTTCTTCTCCAACCTGAAGCTGGTGGACTTTAACATCATCGACACCTTGGGAGTTGGAGGATTTGGGAGAGTTGAGCTGGTAGGATGGCCCATTCTGTATGCATGTTTTCATTTTCAAATTCAATTACATCAGCTACTTCTAGCGCTATAAGGTGATTGCATATGGTGTAGACGCCTTTTGGTATTCTGGTAAAAAGAAGAATCATTTGAAATATATTGTGCTTAATACCTTAAGATTGGATATGCTTAAAACAGAGCAGGACATACTGGATGATGAGCTCTGATGTTTTCTGTAGTGCCACAGCACAGATCAGGTCTGGGAATGTTGTAACTCTATTCAGGGTAACTTTCCACAACAGAGCTAATAGGGCAGACATTTGACTTACTGCCATACAAAGTTCAAGAAGACTGTATGGATGGATGGATGGATGGATGAATGGATGGACAATAGAACACAATAGAATGATTGAACAATAGAACGACAGATAGATGGATAGATAGGTAGTAGTACAGTAGGTAACCTCTGTAAACAGATAGATAGCCTGGTTGGGTAGACAGTAAGTGTTTGGATAGGCAGATGATTATAGATAGATTTATATGTGCACTAAAATGCTGGGTTATTGTAACCCAACTATGGACAAACACAACCATTGGGTTATACCAAAAAGTTCAACTTAATCGAAAAAATGAACCCAACACTGGGTAATAGCAGTGGATCTCAATTCTGGTCCTTGTGCCCCCCACCTTGCACATTTTGTATCTCTTATTTGACACACAAAGATCAGTTCATGGATCTCTTTGTTAATGAGTTGATGATCTGAATCAGGTATGTTAATTTAGGAAGACACAAAATGTGTAGGGCAGGAAGGCCCGAGGACCAGAATTGAGAACCACTGGGTTATAGCAGCCCAGCATTTTTTAGAGCAGGGGTGCCCAAACTTGCCTCTGGAGGGCCGATGTTCTACAAAGTTTAGTTCCAACCCCAATTAGACACACCTAAACAAGCTCTTACTAAATATACTCAGCCTGATCTCATGAGAAAACTTCAGTATTTTAAGTTGACAGTTTAGTGGCTAATTCATACGTGTTCTGTCATATGAAAATGTACGGTTTTAGAAAGAAGGCTTGGCACTAAACCCTGCCCCTAAATCCAACCGTCATTGGGTGATGAGCAAATCGTACTTAATTTTAAGAATGAGATCGTACAAATTCAGACGAATTAGCCACTAAATCAAAAAGTTACAAATTGCCATGAGATTGCGTTAGTATACTAGAAACGTCCGGACAGGTGTGTTGAAGGAAGTTGGAGCTAAGCTATGCAGGACATCGGCCCTCCAGGACTGAGTTCGGGCACCCCTGTTTTAGATTGTAGGTAGGTAGACAGGTTGTTTGTAAGTGATCAAGTATCTGTTAGGCTGATAGTTGGTAGTAAATGATGAAGTAGATTGACAAACAGCTTAGGCAGATGAGATAGACAGTAAAGTAGCTGTGTGGATAATACATATACTCCAAGAAATTCTGGGTTGTTGTGGCCTACCACAGGGCCACATATTGACAAACCCAACATTGGGTCAATTTTTTTATTTATATTTCAATTACACTTTAACTCAACAGTTCGGTTCGTCCATATTTGAGCCAAAATTGGGTTGCAACGAGGCAATTTTGAGACTGTAGATGAGTAGGTAGGTGTGCTGTAAGTAAACAGATATGAGGATAGTTAGTTTAGATAGATAGACAGGATGGCATTTTCAATATTACCATTTATGTAGAGGGGAAGAAGTGATGCAAACTTAGGGAGGAGGGAGGTGGAGGGAAAAAGTCCGCATTGCGGATCACATTCTGTTGTAAAGGAAAGCCCAGTGGTCAGGGAAGAGGATTCCCCTTTCCACCTGCCTATTTCTGGCACTGCGGCAACATAGTAAAAACATGTGGCCTTTCGCTGGAGGCTGTGATATATGCCGGTAGTGCTGTCCGTTTGCTAGATAGCTCCAGGATCAAGTGAACATGCAAGTGCCTTAGCAGAGACGCAATGTGAAGAATTCCTTCTCAGTCAATCTACTTCAAGGAGCCCTAACACATTAATAGACCATGACTCAAGTGCTACTTAAGGAGCACTAACACTTGTTTTTCCATTGGAAAATAGCTTGTTAACACTTTCTTTGTGCCCATTTTTCATGTGTCTGCAGGTGCAGCTCAAGAGTGAAGAGACCAAAACATTTGCAATGAAGATTCTGAAGAAGCGTCACATTGTGGACACGCGACAACAGGAGCACATCCGCTCTGAGAAGCAAATCATGCAGGAGGCACATTCAGACTTCATTGTAAGGTACGAGCTGAAACCCCCTCAGACTTAGATCTTAGAAGGTCAAATCCTTAAAAAAATCCTTTTAAAAAATGATTAATGGACAAAATGTGGCTGTTCTTTCAGGTTGTACAGGACTTTCAAAGACAGCAAATACCTGTATATGTTAATGGAGGCCTGTTTAGGAGGAGAGCTTTGGACCATTCTTAGAGACAGGTAAAACAAACATTGATCTTGTGGTGGTGATGATGGAGCTTAATCCAGCAAAACATCAGTGCTTTCCTTTGTATATTTATAGAGGATCATTTGAAGACTCCACTACAAGGTTTTACACAGCCTGTGTGGTTGAAGCCTTCGCTTACCTGCATTCCAAAGGAATAATCTACCGGGATTTAAAGCCAGAAAATCTCATTCTGGATCACAGAGGATATGCCAAGCTTGTGAGTATAAATCCTAAATGCCTTCTAATATGAGAACACACATACTAAAGGAGGAGGAGCTACTCATCTGATTGGTCAAAATGTTGTATACACCCCTGAGTGCATGATGAGTCATTCATATTTTTTAGTGATTTACCTTAGAACATGGGTCTCAAACTCGATTCCTGAAGGGCCACAGCTCTGCAGTTTTGCTCCAACACTAATCAAGGTGTTCAACTTAAGACTGTTAAGCAGTTGTGAGTTGGAGGTGGTTAAAGCGAAAATCTAAAGAGCTGTGGGCCTCCAGGAATTGAATTTGAGGCCACTGCTGTAGAACAATGAACGCAATAAACACATCGGTTTTCTAGTCTGGAGTACACAGACTTGGATTAAAGACGCCATTTTGATTTTAACACTGTTTGTTGGTCTTTTATAGGTGGACTTTGGCTTTGCTAAAAAGATTGGATTTGGGAAGAAAACGTGGACTTTCTGTGGAACGCCGGAGTATGTAGCCCCAGAGATCATACTTAATAAAGGCCACGACATCTCTGCAGATTACTGGTCATTGGGAATTCTTATGTATGAACTCTTGACCGGAAGGTAAAACGTGTTTAAAAACTTGTCTTTAAGTAAAAAAGTTTTCAGTTTAGTCTATTTAATCATATAAAATCTATGTGCATTTGTTGCACAGCCCACCGTTTTCAGGACCAGATCCAATGAAGACTTATAATATCATTTTAAGAGGAATCGACATGATAGAATTTCCAAAGAAGATCACCAAAAATGCTGGAAATCTCATTAAAAAACTATGCAGGTAAGTGGAAGTTCAATCTGTGCTGATTAGTGGATACATTTATACACGTCAATGGCTTTTTATTACATTAACCTCAAGTGTTTTGCTGTTAAGCTTTAAATACACAGTTAAACCTTAAGTAAAAAAATAAATACAAAGTGCAAAATTGTTTTCCAATATATCTTTTCTCTAGGGACAACCCGTCTGAGCGGTTAGGAAACTTGAAAAATGGAGTGAAAGACATCCAAAAGCACAAGTGAGTACAATAATAGTAATTTTACAGAGTACTACAGTTTCCTTTTTGTAAAACGACAGATCGTAATGCTCTCTTTTCTTTCTATCACAGATGGTTTGAAGGCTTTAACTGGGAAGGACTGCGGAAAGGAACTCTCATTCCTCCTATTATTCCTGATGTGAGTAGTTTTCATGTACCCAGGCTTGCACAACTTCAAAAGTGTAAACGTGAATCGGATTGACAGAATTAAACAAACTACACTTAAAAAAAAAATTACACTGAATAAACAATTACAAAGCTTTTTTGGGAACAGCTTAATTGTTTTGTGTTCAACTAGGGCAGGGCTGATAAACAATATTATATCCAATCGCGATAAAATTTGTCAATAACAATGAAAACAATGACAATTTACTCTATATTGATCTCAAAGCCAATCACACAGTAGAAATGGTCAACAAGGGAATCTAAGTGTGTTGATATTGATGTACCAAATTTTGGGCCACGAAAAAATTGAATGGTCAATATGGAAAATAATTATCAAGATTGCATTTTTGCCATATCGCCAAGCCCTATGTTCAATCCACTCAAATTTGTAAAAATTATTAAATTAATTTTTACAAATTTTTACAAATTTAAGTGGATTGAACACAAAACAATTAAGTTGTTCCAAAAAATTGTGTTTATTCAGCTCAAATTGTGTGAAACCCAGCATTTTTTTTTGTGTGTGTAATTTGCAACAAAACTAATTGATCATTGTTGGTGCCAGACAGAATCTGCAGACAAATTTTGCTATTTCGGCTGAAAATTTTGTAAAATATCTGAGGATTGATGCAAAATTATTTTGGGAGTGTCCTTACCAAATATATAAAAATAAAAAATAACAGCATTTTATCTTTATTTAATATTTACAATACAAATCCATCTAGATCCACTTATTTGGTAAACAAAGCAAGTCTCTCATATAATTTGACAGAACTAAAAGACAGAAATTAGTACTTTAAAAACTGAATAAATATAAATTTACAAACATTTACACAAGTAACATACTTTTTTTTGTTGTTTTGACAAAAAAAATGTGATTATGATTTAAAATAAAATAATAAAAACATATTTGTTAAAAATAATTATTAATAATAAAGCACAGGCAAACTACATTATTGGTATAAACAAGTATTTTAAGTATTAAAAAGGATAATAATAAATGTAAATATTAAATCAAATTTTGATAAATAAATAATTTAGGTATTTAAAAAAAATAAATAATAAAATTAAAATTAGAAATTAAATATTTGAATTAAAAATTAAGTGTTCTATTTCAGCCGTCGTATTATCAAAGCATACTTTTACAGATAGTACTAAATAAATTGAAAATTTGTAAACCAAATAATTTAGGTATTTTAAAATAAAAGTTAATACGAATTTATGTAGTTTTGTATTTCGAACATTATTATCTTAAAGTGTGCTTGAATAATGTTATTGATTTAAAAATTGTAAATTAAATAATTTGGGGATTTAAATTAAATAATAATTTATGTAGTTTTGTATTTCAAACATTACATTATCCAGACACACTTTTAAAGATAATCTGTAAACCAAATAATAATAGAAAAATAGGGATATTTGCCCATCTAACAAGCCATTTCCCCCGTTCACGCTTCAGGTTGCAAGCCCGACTGACACCAGTAACTTTGATAGCTTTCCTGAGGACAACGAGGACCCTCCTCCTGATGACAACTCTGGCTGGGACACTGATTTCTAAAAACTGAAACCCAAAACATGTCCTGCCCTGGAACGTCCCGTGCGGTTCATCATCCCAAAGATGAGCAAAGAGGACAATGAAGACGTCAAGCCCAGCTCTGTGACACCAAGTTGCCTTTGCCCATGCTTCTGTCCCATGGAGAAACTGGGGGCGTCCCAGCTCCCACCGCACCCCGTGACTCAAAACTGTCCTAATAATACAGACAGGAGTGTGTATTTACGACACAGCCTTGCATATGGACTCAAGCCTTGGGCTGGATCTGATATAAAACATGAGCCCTTAATATTTTTACTCTGCAGTTTTATGTTTGACAGATTGCACAAGCAGCATTTTCTAAAAAAAAAAAAAAAAAAAAAAAAAAAAAAACAGAATTATAAAAGTAGAGACACGACTGTGATGGATTTTAATTTCTGATTGAATTGCATAGCTGTGTGTAAATGCATTTGCAACAAAGACTCTAATGTGACATACTTGCTAAGGCCTTATTATGGATATAAATTGATTGGTTTTAAATTTATTTTTTTATTTTGTCCTTTTTAGTGCATACTCCTCTTGGAGAAATAGCTCTCAATTCTTAAAATCTTCAATTCTTCTCTGGAAGAATGATGGTATTCAAACAGTTTGGTTCCCCCTATAGACTTCCATTGTAAATACAGGGTTCCCACTCTTTAATGAACAGCGGATTTAAGGACTTTTTAAAGCACCATTCATCAGGGCTGCAGGTTAAACGAAAAAAAGATTGCGATCTTGATTCAACCGTACACACGATCTTAATTCAGCTTTTCTACAATTCAGACAATTATATGTTCAAGTTCAGTAGAGAAGTGTAAAGGCAGATGAATAAGTCTTCAAATTGTTTAATATACGTTGCTCAGCAATGTGGACACCTCCAAATAGCATTAAAAGTGTCTCATACTGTATTCATAAGTTATAATTCACCCCAAAATGTAATTTCTTTCTAAATGTAATGACGCAAAATCACATGAGCTGACACACTGTTTGTTTGCTAAAGAGAGGATGTGCATGTGCCCGTGAATGATGTCTACTTTAGTGAACAGAACTAGCAAATGCGTCAATAACAGCTAATAAAGTTGTAAATAGGGATAGGACAATAACCGTTTTTAAGGTATACCTCGGTTTGGAAAAGTCAAGATTTTTAAAACAGCCAACATCTTTAGCTATACCGTTCCTAAGGTATATGTACGATTTTTTTTATTTTAGGACTACAGTATCTCCAGCAGAAAAGATATCCAAAGATGCAAAGATTGTAAGGAAATCTGTTTTTAAAACAAATGAAGACAGCAGAAGTCAGTGATTCAGTTGAATTATTTAGCCTGACATGTTTACTGTTCCAAAATAATAAAATGCTTCACAAAATAAAATATCTTGTGTCAAAAGGGGAAAAAAGTTTTTTCTTTTTTACTTTTTACTTTTTTACTATAAAAAATATAGATTTTAGAGCAGTAATTACAATACTGTGAAACTGATATTTTTACCCAAGGTTATCATACCGTCAGAATCTTATATCTTCCCATGCCAAGTTGTAAATAACGTTCAGCTGTGTGGGGAAATAAGATTTGCATGCATGTTGTTTTTTCTCAAAGTGACGACAGGCATGACATGAGCGCACTCGACTGTGAAAGTGAAACCGAAAGCGTGCACATCATTTAAATCAGGGATCACCAAACTTGTTCCTGCAGAGCCGGTGTCCAGCAGATTTTGCCCCCAACACTAATCAAACACACCTGAACAAGCTAATCAAGGTCTTCCTAAGTATACTTGAAACATCCATGCAGGTGTGTTGAGGAGCTAAACCCAGCAGGGACACCGGCCCTCCAGGACCGAGATTGATGACCCCTGATTTAAATGATCATATTGCATTTTACAGTTCTGATTACGACAAGCACTTGATATGTTTTTCTTTCATAGCGAACACAGCGTTGTTTATAAAAACAAATGTACTGGGTCAGTATAACTACTCTAGCTTATATAATGTAAGAGGGGATCTGATGACAGCGGTTTCATTTTATCAGTGAAATAAATGGTCTAATAATGTTGTCAATGACAGAGTGCAAGTATATATCTCAAACATAATAATTCAACTTTAAAATGATGAATAGTTGTATTCTGATGTCATCACTTTAATTAACAACCAGGACTAATTTAAAGTCTTGTCAAGTCCACCATTACAGGTCTATGCAAAATGTAGCATTTTAACCATCAGTAGACCTACACATGGGCCTAATATTATTTGTGTTTTACCATATGTTTGAGAAATAACAATAACTACTTATATTAACCTTTATTTTACATCTACAGAATCGTGAGAAAATCTTTAAGCGGAAAAAAAATTTATTCTCATTTTAGCCAGAATCGTGCAGCCCTAGCATTAATTTCAAATCAAGCACCTTTTTTTAATTCCCCGAGCACATGTAGTGCCATGAAAGCCCTTACTCTACTTAACATTTGACTTACATTTAATATTTACATTAAAATGCCTTAGTTTTAAGGAGTTTTAAAGAGTCATGTTAAAAGAATTTAGTAAAACTTGGTAAATTCAATACTGGTAATATACAAAAGTGGTTTCTGATATACTGATCAAATGGACATTATTTATCAAAGTTCTTGTATAAGATTTTCAAATGAAGAATTGACCATTTATAGTTCTGTTTTTAACAGCAGCACATAGGGCTACACAATATGTATTGTTTTAGCATTGATATCGCAATGTGTGCTTCCACAAAAGTCACATCGCAGGATCTGCAATGTTTAACCAGTATTTTTATTGACCAGATTTTGGAAGACACTCATGATTTGTGGCGTTTTTGCATCGTTTAACCATGAAGTTACCAAAACATGTATTATTTATGTGTGTTTTTATTAACTAATTCAGTTTAAAAGGCTAACGAAATTACATTTTTAACTTTAAGGAACTTTAGTTCATTCATGTACAGTTGAAGTCAGAATTATTAACCCCCCCGAATTATTAGCCTGTTTATTTTTTCCCCATTTTCAGTTTAACAAAGAGATTTTTTTTAACACATTTTTAAACATAATAGTTTTAATAACTTCTCTAATAACTGATTCATTTTATCTTTGTCATGATGACAGCAAATAACAATTTAATAGATAATTTTAAGACACTTCTATGCAGCATAAAGTGCCATTTAAAGGCTTAACTAGGTTAATTAGGTTACCTAGGCAGGTTAGGGTAATTAGGCAAGTTATTGTATAACGATGGTTGGTTCTGTAGACTATCGAAAAAAATGCTTAAATGGGCTAATAATTTTGTCCCTAAAATGGCTTTTAAAACATGAAAAACTGCTTTTATTCTAGCTGAAATAAAACAAATAAGACCTTCTCCAGAAGAAAAAATATTATCAGACATACTGTGAAAATGTCCTTGCTCTTTTAAACATCAATTGGGAAATATTGAAAAGGAAAAGAAAATCAAAGGGGGTTTAATAGTTTTGACTTACAACTGTACTATACGGTGTTATTTTACATTTGATTATTAAATTTGTGCATCTAAATATTGTTAGAGTTCCAGAAAATCATATAGCACTGTATATTTTGTTTTCACAGTGTTGTTTATGTACTATATTTCTCAATGTTTGTAATTATCTTATTTGATGTTTATTATAATTTATGTAGATACACTCCCTTACAAAATCCTCCCAAATCATCGAAAATAATGAATTCTTTCCAAACAGACATATTCATTTAATCTGGTGAAATTATATATTCAATATCTCAATATATATGGTAAAAAAAGAAACCATCGCAATGTCAGTTTTTCCAATATCATGCAGCCCTAGCAGCACAGTACAATTGGTAAAATAACACCAAACTAATTTCATTTCAAACTGACTTCAATGTCCGATGTTTGTTTTTAAGTACTTTAAGGCTTTGAATCCATATGTCTAAAATTTAAGTCATTTCAAGAAGTGTGGGAACACTCTAAATATAATGAAAACCAGGTCTGTCTGAATACTTTAAAACATTACACAGAAAAAAAATAGATCTGTTTTCAGTATGAACAATATGAGGGTGAGTAAATATCATTATTATGTGAACTAAAGGTTATTTTGCAAGTATGATAAACTTAAAAGGCTCTGAATGTGTGGTTATTTTTTTATCTCAAAAGTAAAAAGAATACAAATCAATACAGTTTGTGCACCACTAGAGGGCAGAAATTCACTCAAAATTCACACTGCACTTCCTAGTGTCATCCCATGGCCTCAGATTGCGTTTATGAAGTTATCAGCTCTATTATTGATACCAGACAGAACATTTTCTCCTATTATTTTCACTATAATCATGATGAGAAGACTGCCTGCAGGCTAATACTAGCTTGAACACAAAGTGCTGTACTGGAAAAACCAATTAAGTAATCTTATTTATTGTAGGACCAGAGGTAAATATTTCTGTAAATATATACATATACAGTGGTAATAATATTTTTGTGATATTTGTAGAGATTTATCGTCACAGTCCTATTGCTTAGGAGTTAGTTTTTGGATTTGATTTGTATGCTTTTTTTTGGTAGTTCTCTTTACTTTACAAGATGGCTATTCTGCTCACTATATATATATCTTTCGGCATTATTGTAAGTGCCTTAACACAATGGCATCCAGAATTCACCCTGCTTGTTTTGATGCTGCACGCCTCAAAATGTTCTTCTTAATCAGTTGTGGCTTTTTTTTAAAAAAGGTACAGAGATTTATATGCCATTTTCCTACAATAAAACATCTTTCAAATAGTGCCTGCGTCTGAAATCTTTTTTTTATGGGGATAATTTGCACCTGCATGTTGGTTATCATTACGGTTTTCGGAAGTTCAGCATGTCCTGCAAACAAGTCTTGCTATCTTGTCCTACAAACAAGATTTAGCTGGAGGTGTTAGCGCTGTGAAGGGTCTGACTCATATCAGCTGGTGATAATGCTCTGTAAACATCTGCCCTCCCCTCGTCCCAACAGATAAACACATGAGCATGGCAGCTCTTTAATGCCAGCAGACATCAAAAGACATCAACCCAGGGGGTAAAGAAGACATCTTTGACCTCCGGTTCACAGCAAAAAGCATCAGTCAATTGATGTTTTCCATTCAAAGATGCAAATTAAACTTGTGCGCAAAATTAGAAAATCACACAAAACATTTGAAGAGTAAATTATCCGGTCATAGAAAACTAAATCGATAAACTGAAGAAGCCACTGCGTGCCGTTTTTTCCTTATAATCGTTTACTTTAAAAAGAAACGCAATAAGTGTGTGCTGTGTATAGGCCTTTCACAATGATCAATATATGGACTTTATCACACAACACATGGACATGACCTCAAATATTTAATGCGTATCGCCCATACTTAAAAACCAATTCGGTAACACTTTATAACAACTACACACTACGAATAATTTATTAAGCATTAGCAAATAGTGAATTCATTATCTGTTAAGCATTAACTCTACATTAATAGACGTTAGTAAGCAGTTTAAAACTACTGCTAAAAATGCTGTAT